GGGTGTGAGCGGGGCGGTGCAGGGTGAACGGGGCGGTGCAGGGTGTGCGGGGCGGTGCAGGGTGTGCGGGGCGCGGAGCTGCGGGCGCGAAGATGGCGGCGGGCAGGCGCGCCCCCCGCACCGGGCTGCTGGAGCTGCGCGGCCCCGGCGGGCAGTGGCTCCGCGTCCTGCTCACCCTGGCCGAGGACGTGCTGGGGGTCAGCCCTGCCGACGGCCCCGGCCCCGAGGCCCCGGCGGCGGCGCAGCTGAACGGCGGCGAGCCGGGCTCCGCCGCGCCCGAGGCGCTCGCCAACATCAGGAGAACCGTGCGCGTCGTCAAGCAGGACGTGGGGGGGCTCGGCATCAGCATCAAAGGTGAGGCCGGGAGGGGGGGGGGGGGGGTTCCCGGGCGGCGGGGACAGAGAGGCACCGGCACCGCGACCTGTTGCTGCCGCCGTTCCGCGGCTCGCTCGGAGCTGGGGTGGGGGTCCTCGCACCCCCCCAGCCCCTGCGCGGGGTGGGGAGGGGGACGCGTGGCACTGACGGGACCCCCTACGGAGGGGGCGATTCTTCGGGGTGCAGGGGGAGCGGCCGGCCCTGCCCGCCGTGCCCCGGCCGGAGGGGGGGGTCCCCGGCGTTTGAGGGCTGGAGGGGACGGATTCCCACTGTCCCCCCGCGCCCATGGGTAGGGTGGTGTCTCAGGAGGCAGGTGGGGTGCAGAGGGCACCCAGTTATACAAAAGCTGCCCTTTTGCAGCCACAGCGAGGGCTTTGCCGGCGTGTCCTTGTCCCCCCGTGTCCCTGAGCTGGGAGATGCCCTTTTAAACTATCAGATAAACGATGTAAAGCCCTTGGAGATCTCCAGGCTCTGGGGCTGTTAAACCAACGCACTCGGGCTTGGAGACGTCTGCTCCCGGGAAGCTGAGCAGCGGGAAGCCTCCCTATTGTAATCCCTGTTTTCCTTCCCAAACTGCCTTGGTGACTCGCCTGAACTTCAGGCTGGAAACTTCTTGGGGCAGGGATGGCGTTCCTGGCGTCCTGCCTGCCTTTGCTTTTTCGCGCGGCTCCGAGCGTGGTGGAGGGGAGGATGAAAAGGGCAGCAAAGAGGCAGGGAAAGGTCTGTCACGGAGCTGTGAGGGGCCGTGACTCCGTGTGCGGGCAGGGCAGGCAGCGGGCTCGGCAGCCCCGGGGGCAGCAACAGGGCAGCTCTCGCCTCCTGACGTGGCTTCTCCTCACAGCTCAGAGGAGACGAACGCAGCCTCCGGCTCCCTCTGAAGTCGGGAGGTTTTGCTATGTGGATATCTGTGTGCTGGAACTGGATCGACACTGCTGGCCGTATCTCCAGGGTGCCCCAGCCTGCCAACCCTTTTTTTTTTTTTTGGAAGCATAAAACCCCCTTCGTGACGACCCTTTGGCTGCCAAGTTACTGCTTGCTCTGTGGCTCTCCCAGGAAAGGAGAAACTACACTTGGTTCAGTCAAGACTTTATTTTTGCAGTGACGTATGTGGAAAAGAAGTAGTTGCCATCAGAACTGGGCAGTAGGAGCTGTTGTGAGTGGTGGGGCAGCTCTGGTAGGACAGGACATCATTCCTCCTCTCCAGGCTGCTGGCACGTCCCTGTTTGTGCATGTGCCAATCGCGTTTCACCCGGGGATGCTTCTCTGCCACCCCGGGGCGTGGGTGAGGTGTCCTGCCATGGGGTGTGGGTCTGGGTGTTGGGAGTGCTGGGCTGGCAGGACAGCAGGAAGCTGAGCTAGAGCTGTGCTGGCCGAGGCTCTGGGCCCTGGCAGGACTCTCGGTGCTGGCAGCTGGGACAGGAGCCGCTGCCGCAGGGACGGAGCAGCCCCCGCCGGGGCCTCTGACAGCTGATAACCGGAGCCCTCGCAGGGCTTGGCAGGCGGCTGAGCGAGGAAATGCCTGTGGCACTGGCTGGGAGCAGCCCCGGGGCGGGCAGTGTCAAGAGGCTGGGCTCAACCTCCCCCTCTGGGGTGAAGATCATCTCTTGGAGGCTCCTCGGGACAGGCTGTCCTGGGACTCAGGGCATCTCGGGGACTGCTGATCCCCGGCTGCCGTGGGCAGTAGCTGCTGCATCCCTGCTCCCTGGCACGGAGGCAGCTAGGATCTCCCTGCGGGTTCAAAAGTTAACGTGCAAATTGATCTCCCGAAGCCGCCGGGAGTCTGAATAGCATTCTTTTAGTCAGGAGAGCAGCAGGTAAGATAGGGCTGCTGTGCTGAAAGGAACACGCAGCCAGGTTGGTTCACCTCTCCCTGACTCTTTGGCCTCTCCAAAAACGTTCAGCTGTCTTATCTGTTGAGATCATGAAGTCCTTGGAGCAAGGATAGTCTCTCAGCACACATGATTAATAATGCAAATAAAGACATGCTTTCCTGCCAGAACTGATGGGGAGATGGCCAGGTTTACGTGTTCACTCTGTGACTAATGTGTGATCATTCCTAGTGGTTTTGGAGCAATCACTTAATCTGCTGTAAAGCCTGGTGGTACTTTGGCTGCTGTGGTTGGTACAGGTGTCCTGTGGGCATCTGGGGGAGCGAGCAGGGGGTTGACCCAGCACAACTGAGTGCCAGGAGAAGGCCTCAGCCTCACCAGGGCCATCTGGTACTGGAGCATCCCCCTTCCCACCTGCTCTCCATGAGCTCCAACAGCCACAACTGCTTCCTGTCTCTTCTGTTTCAAGGTGGCCG